AGAAAGGAAAGAATAGTAGTTTATAACCAATCCTTGTTGTTCCTTGTTGTTTTCCCTTGTTTTCTTTATTAACCATAACCCTTGTGTGTTTCTTGTTTATAAAGAAACCGTTTATATTTTGTTTCAAGACATCCTATTCACAATAAGTGCAATACACCTATCTGTGCAAATATCACTCTAGTTTTGAATATACACACCTTGAACAAAATTTCAGATCTTCCTTTGTCTAAGATGAGGGTTTAGATTTGAAGTTAGGGACCAACATTCCAAAGTTGTTTGACAATAAAAGTGAAGTTAGGGTTTAGATTTGTTTTCGTCAACAACAACAATTGATAAACGAAACAAATCAAAGAATACCTAGTGAAGTTAGGGTTCATCTTCGTCTTCTAAGTTTCGAATCAAGTGCTCCTATCGTGTCGTCGAGGCTCTCATCATCTTCTTCCTTATTGGTTGTGGTTCTTCGCAGTTCACAGTGTTCTTCATAGTATACAGTGTTCTTCGCAATTCTTCTTTGCTAGTATATTTATGAATATTTTAGTTTATTCCATTTAGAAAATACTAAAATATAATTAAATTTAAGTTTCATTTTATTCCATTTTAAAAAAAGTTCATTAATGAAATATTACATGCGCCTTATTACCACGTAAGCACATTTAAGCCACGTATTAAAAAATGACACATCAACGTTTTTTGATGATAAATGGATAAGGGGATTAAAACTGATTTCGTGAGTTTGACAAAATATGGAGACCAAAACTGTAATTTAGTCTTTAAATTATGACATATTTTAACGCATAAGAATCTGAAGATAATTATACTTCACCTCTGCTACCCTAGTGTTAAATATGGTATCTCAGATATATTGGATGAAATAACCAAAATATTCTTTTAACAAAAAAAAATAATATTGTAAAAGTAAAATTGAATTTGTGTGAAATTGTTCAGATATACACACAAGTAAAAAAAATTGTTCTATAAATTTATACCGTATGTTATTCAAAATCATGACAAATCTGGTATAAATGCAATAAATAAATGCATTTATATCAGGTTTGTAAATACTTAATGCCAAATATTTTGTATCATGTTGTAGTTTTAAACAAAACTAGTATAAATGCATATGGTATACTAAATTTGTTAGTATATTTGGTGCAAATGAATGAGTTTACACATAATTTATTAATATATTTGATGCAAATGAATGAGTTTACACATAATTTATTAATATATTTGATGTAAATGAATGGGGTTTGCAACAAATTTGTAATTATAATCGGTAGAAATGCATATGACACCAAATAGTTGTGAAAATTCAGTAATTGTAAGAGGGAATTAGATTCATACAAAATTCAATAGAGAAATTTGCTTTTTAATTATTTGATATATTTTGTTTTTAGTGAGAAAAAGAGGAAGTGATGGTAGCATCATACCTAGATTGAGCTGTCATCATGTAATTTTTATAAGTATGTGCATGTGTTTTTAGTCATTTTTCAGTTGATTTTGATAAAGTTTGATTAAGAAAAGGACAATTTTCCAATAGAAGTTTTGTGTGCACATTGTGGCAAGATTTGCTTCGCATCGTGATGAGATGAAAAGTGATCACGAGGCGATGAAAAGTGATCACGACGCGATTTGTTCCTCGCACATCACATCATGGCGAGATAAAAGTCATTATGACGCGATGTAACCTTTTTTCTAACATGTTTTGACTTCTATAAAAAGGGGAAACATAGAGGAAAAAACGGTTAGACGTTTTTGGTACACAATTTTAATAGGAGATTCATGTATTGTTTCTTTATTTTTTTCAGTTATGATTACTATTAGTATGATTAGCTAAGTTTCTATTGATTAGGGCTTTCTAAATGAGCCATGTATGAACCTATTGGGTCATGTGTTTGCATATTGTATCACTGAAACTTTTGATCAATTAAACATTGTTATACGATAATTTTGTGTTCACTGTTTTATATGCATTGACGAATTCATATATCAAACCTAGAATTGTATTAATTAGTGACCATAACTATATGAGTCTGATCTAAATTAACTGTTCAACTTATTAATTGATGAGGATAAGAAATTATAAGTTGTGACTTAAGGTTTAACGCACTGAATATTTTATAATTTAATTATCCAGCTGACCTAAGGAATTATGAAGTTGTAGTGTAGAAGAGTGAGTTATACACCAAGAAATTGGGTATAACACCAGCTAAACTGTTTTAATCACTGAGAAATCAACGTATGGCAAATAAAGACCAACATCAATAGTGACATACAGGAGATTAAAACAAGGCCTAACTTTCTTTAATCGGATCAAGTTTCCATCAGCTTATTTATGCTTTTATTTTATACAATTCAATCTTGTGAATCCCTAATTTTTACTTTCAATAGCACGTGAATCTTCTTATTAAAATAGCATAATCCTTGTGGATACAAACATTTTTTTATTACTTCGATAACATATAATACACTTGCTAAAAGTCTATCAAGCAACTAACGTGTCAGCGTTGTTGCAGAGAGTTGTTGATGAGATGGCAGAGATGATGTTGATGGTTATTTGTGCACTGGGGATGATAGAGTAACTCCCATTGGAGCATTCTATGTACTAGGAGATCGTTAGGGTGTGTATGTTGCATCTCATTGGATGTATTACATTGATAAATAAGTTGCAAGTCTATATCGATGCGATGTAGATAGTCCTATTCATTGACCTTGGATTTCATGATTGGACACACTGTTGTTCTGCAATGAGGTTACTATATCATGACATTAGATAGGTGACTACATTTGAGATGAGATAGCTCGGTGGTTATATGAGCCTATTTCAGGTATAAATAGTTATTATATTCTATTTGTATGTATTTGCTGTGTTTAAATTGTATGTTTAATTTCTTATGTTTACTGCAGTGTAGGACATACGAGCATTTCACATCCATTGTGACAAAAGTTATCATGGTTCTATTATAGACGTCTCCCCACGAGCCACGAGATTGGGCTCCAAGAAATATCATTTAGGCGTCCTTTAGAAGTACATACTGAGGATCGACACTCTAACCCTAGATGATGTCATCCTAACACCATACACTGACCATATAATGCATTGGGAGTTGGACGTCACTATAGTATTCTTCAGGTTATATGTGATTGGTGTGTGATTTTATGACTTATTTACCTAAGAGGCGTCTTTTCCAGTTTGGCCAGGTCCATGGCATATCTAGACAAGTCCTATTGTACAATCTAGTGTTTATGGATGGTTGTGTTAACATGGTGAGTTGTGCCAATGCAATTAGACAAAATGCATTTGTCGTGTCATTTCATAAACAATACGTGGATGGTTGCATAAAGTGGTACTAAAGATTATCACATTATTTCATCATCCTTTCTGGCTCAACTGAACTTACAGGTGTTGTTAGAGTTTTGTTTGTTGGATGATATTCCACCAACTCCTCCACCATCTTGTATGGGTAATGGAAAACAGGTACAAATGATAGCTTTTCTTTATGATAATCTTACGGTTAAGTAAACCCAGATTATGAGGTTTATATTTTGATATCACATATAGCACACATTGTCACTCATAGACCAATTTAATTTTTTTATGACTTTGATATCACATATAGTACACATTGTCAATGATAGACCAATTTAATTTATTTTATGACTGTTTGTTGTTGATTGTAAACTTTATAATTTAATTTTTTTTATGACTGTTTGTTGTTGATTGTAAACTTTATTTGTTGCCTCTCTGACATTAGTTGTTGTTTTTGTATTACTTATTGTTGTTGTTGTAATTAAAGCATCATTACATAGCATAATATGGGCACCACATTTACAAAGAATGAGAAAAATCATGACACCAGACTTTTATATAAATTCGGTGGATACAAAATTCACACACACACACACACACACATATATATATATATATATATATATATATATATATATATATATATATATATATATATATATATATATATATATATATATATATATATACACACACACATATATATATATATATATATATATATATATATATATATATATATATATATATATATATATATATATATATATATATATATATATATATATATATATATATATATATATATATATATATATATATATATATATATATATATATATGTTGCCTCTCTGACATTAGTTGTTGTTTTTGTATTACTTATTGTTGTTGTTGTAATTAAAGCATCATTACATAGCATAATATGGGCACCACATTTACAAAGAATGAGAAAAATCATGACACCAGACTTTTATATAAATTCGGTGGATACAAAATTCACACACACACACAATATATATATATATATATATATATATATATATATATATATATATATATATATATATATATATATATATATATATATATATATATATATATATATATATATATATATATATATATATATATATATGTCGATCATAAATCTGAAATGTGAATTGAAAAACTGCCTAAAGTTTATGCAACACCCTATCTTATTCCTCTGGAACAAACCATCGGATTTTAGATGGATACAAACTTTGAAAGTGCAATGCTAGAAAACCCAACATTACAATTTTAAATCATAAAACTAAACTTACATATTTATATTTATAAAATTATTAATATTAATCTACTGTATGATTAATTTAATTTAGTTTAATTACAAATGTGCATATGAGATGTTGCCATATGTCGGTGGCAAACAGGGTAGAAAATCAATGCAAACATGTGAAATCCTTCAAATGACTGGTTCCATTCCATGGGAAGAAAATGCCAATTTTAGTTGCCGTGGAAACCAATTAAAAGCTTCTGCCAAAAGAAACTCAAACTAGGACAAGAATAATCTCGCAAACATTTACAATTATGAGGTCGATTTGATAGTATTTACACATTGTATGGCTCTATGAAAAACCCATAAAAATTAGGAAGTAATCAAATCAAAGAATAATAATGCACTACTACAATAGTAGTAAAAATATAATAGTAACTATCGCCTCTTTCTCTCTAGACTTCTCCTATGGAGAAGTTGCCAAGACCATAGACCCAAAAATGTAACTATTCCCACTCCAACTGATGACCATAAAACTACCAGCCATAATGGCATTGACTTCGGATATAAGCCTGCAACGCAAACACAGCCAAGGTTTAATCAGTGAATAACCAAGCTTCGCATACATCAATTATTCAGGTAGTAAAATGAGTCATACCGTATCCAAATTTTATGCAAATGAGAAGTTCGACAATACAAATGGCGAGAGAGAGCCAACAATAAGCTCCAACCTTTTTCACTGGCTTACTGAAAAAACATTCAAAGAGACTATGACAAAATGTTAAAAATTTGTAAGGGTATACGGTCAAGAATCACAACATGAGAGATTGAGAATGTTACCTGTCTTGAAGGTATGTGTTGTATTCGCGAATTGTTGGAATTGCAAGTAGCCACCACAAAATTAACCTATATATAACAACTGAATTTCGCGGTGGTATCCATAGACAAAACTTCAAAAAGAATGTGTTGAGCTCTACTGTCAAAAATACAATGCAAAGACTAAGAACTTGAATAAATCGCCATGGACCCTGGAATGGATGCCACTCATCTTTGTCCCATTGGGCCGGTGTGAATTGGCCTAATGTCCGTTTCACCTAGTAACAAAAAAAGAGACGCAAAAAGTATTCTATCACTGTCAGAAACACAACTTTAGTGAAGACAAAAAGAAAAGGATCATACTTGCAATTTCAATTTCAATAGAAATAAAATATTAGAGCATAATGGAATAACTTATGACAAAACAAATCAAACTGCAGAGAAAAAAAAAACATACTTTTCCGATTATATTAGGTTGGCGGCTAAGACCAACCCACTTGTATGTTTTTCCATCGAAGTAGCGGACAGTATGCATTCCTGCCCAAATTCCTGTAATATTAAACCAAGTAAATCAAGTTACGAACAGCTGTATCAGTTTAAAAAATCAATACAACAATTTAGTGACTACCATCAGTTATTAACAACAATGTAAAAAGAATCACTGAAGTCCACATGATCAATCCAAAATTGTTTTTCTAAGATGAAAAAACCAGTATAGATGATAGGAACAGAATTTCAATGAAAAATAATATTAAGCTCAGTATGCTATTACAGGCTGGAGCATCATTCTAAAGACAGAATAAAAAAACCCTAATGCAACTAGTTAAGTCATTGAAAATATGATGCAGATTGAAGGTTCAAAGGAGTCAAAGGAATCTGAAAATAATTTCCACAAAAAGCATTAAAAAAAGTCACCTAACTCTACACATGTACACGGATTTAATCATTATCATCCAAGATAATAAAAAATGTATAATATACCTTTAGGACTTGGACAGTAAAAGTATATTCACATAAATCATTATCCTATAAGCTTTCTGTATTTATAGAGTGGTCCCCCATTTGACTAGGAGACAAGGAGAATATGTTCATGCTTCAAATAATCAACCACATACTACAACTTGCCAAAAAGTCAAATAAAAATGGAACCGTAACTCTTACCAAACCAATTGCAGATTAAGATGTCCAGAATAATACTGTCCCACCAGCACTCATTGAAATTCGGTAACATGTGACGGAAAGTAAGCTGGAGATGGCAACATAGAATGGTTCGTAAAGAAAACAGAAAACATTTACCAAAACAATAAAATTTATATGTTAAATCAGAGATTATTAATCAGATCAACACTAACCTCCATCAACTCAAAACCTATTGATAGCACCCAAAGAAGGGGCTGATTGCGAATCAATATTGCCTTCCCCCACCACCCAATAATATGCGCTAGAACAAACTCATCAAAAAGTGTATCCTGAAGAATAAAATGTAATAAATAATCTCCATGTTAGATAGATAGATTCCAACTAACATGATTAAGTAAGGATCATCAAGTTATTTGGAGATAATAGGAACATGACTGAGTAAGGACCAACGAGTTATTTGGAGATAATGCGCAAGAGTATAAAGTTGTGAAAAAAGAAATCATACATAAACATTCTTAAACCTGCTGGCAGGGTTTTCGGGTATATATATGCGACAATCAGCACCGTACGATCTTTCTGGAAGTTCTGCCAAAAATCATATACAAAGCAATTACAAATTTGAAATTTAGTTAGCATGCTTATCAATATCCAATTAGGTAATTTGAATCTTTCTAATCGATTCAAAGCCATATATTATAAGAATCAGATTAACTTACCAATGCCAAGATCAGGATGAAGATACTTCATAAACTGTCGAGCATCGTCGCGTTTCTGTGAGGGGATTATTAAGATTAAATGTTAGTTCACGTTTATTCACTTGCTAGAAACAGAATTAAAAATGACAAAAAGAAAGCAACAGAAGCCCGAAAAAGTTGAAGGCAGCTAACACATTCAAATATCAATAGCAAAGATGCATAAAGAAAATGTGAAACTTTATCTTTACAAAAATCAAAATGATAACCAACCTGAAAAAGCAAAAATGTGAGAGCAACAAGGTATACAACAGCCATCCCATGTACCAAGCGCCAAATTGCAGGATGCGGCCTAATGAGGACCCTGAATTAAAAGAAAAAATCGGTTGCGGTGAAAAATAGTATAGAACTAAGTCTCCATTAACAAGAACAATACATGCATACAAAAAAAATAGAAGTGAATGAAAATGCCTAACTCACGTAGAAGGAGCTTGCAGCAAGCAATAAGTGAGAAAAACAGCAATCATTGCCCATACACCCCTGCATAGAAACAATCGTGTGTTCGTTTAGCATATGATATACACAGGAAAATGCTAAACAAAGCAAAATGGGCACAAATTAAACTAAAGATACCACCATACCTTTTAACTGAAGTAACGACATCACCTGATGCATCTCTTTCTGGATCAAGTGCTCCACTTGCCCAACTAGCATATCAAATTATAAACAAAAATAAGAAACGAGGGGGAAGGTTTTCAATTTATTAAAGAACAAATTTCCTAGTTTATAAAAAATTTCAATAGAATACTAATTGGCATTTAATTTGTCAAGCAAAACACTCACATAAGTAAGCCAGCACCAATAAGTAATAGTGTGATTGTGCGAGGCTTGTATGCCCACGCAGTCCATGGATCATGTTCATCATCATTTGACAAATGGGAATCGCCGTTTTCTTTAACGACACAATCATATCTCTTTGCTCTTCTATGACCATTGGACTCCATCTTTATTGTCCAGAGAAGCTACTTTCTAACTAGAATTAAAATCAAAGAAATAAGATCATCTGCAGACACTACCCAGATATCCAAAGAGTTCTATCGCCTCAATCGATCACCCACCTCCTAGAAACCACACAAAACAAAAGGTCACAAAAGGTTCATCCACTTCATTCAAATATAAATCCATCACATGAAAGTAAGAAAAAAAAAACAAATTCATCATGTCTAAGAACACATGGAGTACTATTTAGATCTTGTTAAATATTCATTCATGCATAATTTCATTTCAGTTAGTACTTGTTATGAGCACTTCAATCACAAGAGAATGAAAAACTCTACAAATACCATTGTGTAATAGTGCGCAACACTAAATCTCAAAAGTATGTATGATAAAATGATGATTACAAACAAAACAAAAGGATAAAAAAAATGAACAACAGAATATCAAGAAAACTTTAAAAATAAAAAATAAAAATAAAAAACAATATGCCAAGAGTCGATAACTTCCGCATAACAAAACCATGTAAATTAGGGTTCAAATTTCAAAATCAAAGATTAAAAAAACTTCAAAAAAAAAACCAACAAATCCACTGAATTGACAAGACAACAAACCCCAACTTGGTAATTGCAGATTATCATAGAACCCGGTAAATAATTTATGGCAAAAAAAAAATCTCATTAGAAATTCTACAGTATATATAAAATTGTACAACTCAAAAAAAAAAAAAAAAAACTCTGAGCACCGTTCTTCAATAACAGCATCTCAACACAGAAGAGACCCACATGCACATCATACAGAAGCACAGAAAACTCAGAAAACGGTTATAAAAAATATTATTTTATTTCATATATTAACAAAAAAAAAAACCGAAGCGATTGAAGTTTGATAGCTTCACGATGGATCTAAATCTGAAATTGGCATCAATAATTCAACGTTTCATCGATGCATGTGATAAAAAAAAAGATTAGAAAAAAAGGGGGAAAAAGACGTAGAGTGATGAATGTATAAATATGAGACTTACGTAGAGAGGAGAGAGAGTGTTAGCAGGTAAAGGACCCCTGGCCGTACAATTAGCGAAACGAGAAGATCGTGGGCGTTGGATGAATCGGAGAAGAAGAAGAAGAAAGTGTTAGAATGGTGAGTTAGAGGTATGAAGTGAAAAAGATGAATGATGAAAGAAAAGAGAAGAGAGAAGTGGCAGTGATAGAGAAAGGGGAAAGGAAAAAAGAGTGAATGAATGAATAGAAGTTGTTGTTGTTAGTTTGTATCTGTATGGTGTGGTATGTGGGTATTGGATTTTGGTGGAAGCAGAGTCTGCAACAGCGGCGAAAAGGTGGAAGGGTGATGATGATGAAGAGAGAGAGAGAGAGAGAGAGAGAGAGAGAAAAGAGTACGATGGTCAAAGATAGATTTGAAGGTGTTTTAGATACGCACGATGACGATCATCATCAACAACAATTTTATTTATGACTATATAGCCCTTTTTGTTTCTAATTAATTGCTTATTTATTCTCCCCTCTATCGCTAACTACTACTACTTCACATCCTTTTCAATTTCTTTTTAGTTTTTAGTTTTTACCCGTATTATAGTACACCCGTTTCATTTTACTTTTTTTTTTTTTAATTAAAATTTAAATTAAAAAACTTTTTTTCTTCTCATAATTAATTTAATGGTTGGAGTTCAATATTTAAAGATGAATAAGTGGGATATAGGCTATTCAAACCTACAATTTTACATCAAATATTTCTGCATAACTATTAATTGAGTTAATTTAATAGTATAAAAAATAAAGTTATTTTAAATAATTTTTTACAAAAATTAACTTTTTAAAAATTACGATACATATTATATTTTAATCTTCAATAATATAAGATGTCAAAGTTAATATTTTAATTTATAAAAAAAATTGAAAAAACTTTTAATATTTTATAAAAAATATATATTTTTGTAAAGATAAAATGAACCTCTCCTATATACTATGATATAATCATTGTTATTTTTTTATGATAATATTTTTTATTAGTATTTTTAATTGTCTTAATAAATAATAGTAATTTTTATAAAAATAAATAAATGATACTCCCTTGAGACAATTTATTTTTTAATTTATAAATAATTAGTATGTTTCTTTAGCCAAAAAAAATAATATATCTCTTGACTAAAAGAAAAAAAATAATTAAGTTGAATTATATTGGACAAGATGGTAATACGAAAAAAATTTTAAATCTCACGTAGATTAAAAATAGAGTCTATTTTAAGTTTATTTGTATAAATTAATTGGATTAAACTCTAATTTTAATATAGTATTCTCTCCGTCTCTTAATAAATGATTTATTTAAAATAAAAAATATTTTAAAATTAGTGTGTTAAAAAATCCGAACCGATTTGGTCGTCAAACCGATTAATCTGTGAACGGGAGGATAGAGCGATCAAATTAAATCATCGGACTATAGTTATAATTGATTCAATAAAAATCAGCATGACTTAGCCGGTTTACTGGTCAGACCAATGATTTCCTTATTTTCATTTTTCTTCAATTTTAATGTCTATGTTTTAAAATCTGATTTTATTAATATTTATAGTTATGTTACTTTTTTTATAATAATCAAATAATATTATAATTATAAATGTCCATGTTTTAAAATCTAATTTTATTAATATTTATAGTTATGTTATTTTTTTATAATAATCAAATAATATTATAATTATAAAAATGAAAATTTCTCAAATTTTAATAATTAGACATTTAACCTTTCAAAACTATTAGAATTGTATTTTTATCAACGGTATCATAAATTTCTTTGATGTTTTATTTGATCAAAGAGAGAATTGTATATTTTATAATTACACCAATTTTCTCTAATGTTATTATCATTAAACTTATTTATTATTAATCATACAATAAAATAATATAATAAATTTAAAAAACGAGAAAATTGATTAAACAATATAATAATGCTATAAATTACAAAAAATTTGAAAAAAAAATCATGTTACCATAAAGACAAAAATATATTTTCACATTATTAGAAGTCATGTGATTCAACTAATGATCCATTAGTCCAATCAGTAATTCAGTGATCCAATTGCGTGACAGAATAGGTAACTAATCCTAGTTTTAAAATATTGTTCAAAATGAATGATCCATTTCATTTTTCAATGATTTTTTTAATTCTACTTTTTACTTAATATTACTTAATTATTCTCAATATTCGATAAGGTATACTTTAGTAAAAATATTATTTTCTCTTTTTTATTTATTTATGTTTTTTAATATGTGTGAGATAGTCAACTAAATCTCTAATTATAAGAGAGAAGAAGTATATCAATTTAGACCACCCATAATTTATATATGTGCAGAAAGTCCAATAGTAATGGCATGAAATCACACATGGTTAAAATAAAATTTAAAAATATCTATATATATTGATGATTTGATGTTTCTCACTTTACAAATTAATTTTGTAAAAATAAATTGGATCAAACTCAAATTCAAATATGATATCAAAAAATTCATTTGTACAAGTCACCCATAATTTATATATACACAAAAACAAAAACCTAATAATAATAGTATAAATATCTGTATTAAGAAAAACTTAAATCAAATATAGTTACAAATAAAGCTTAAAAATAATTATATAAAGTAATTTTTTTTCACCTAACAAACCTGTTTATATATAAGTCAAATCATAATTTTAATATAACATTAAAATTAAGGGTTGAATTCAGGCTAATACAAATTAAGACTCAATTTCTTATGTGTTGCATCAACTTTCATCTATAAATAAATTTTTTTTATATAAAGAGGATTTTCACTTAAAATGAGAAAACTACACCACAACTAAATGAAGCGTAGCAAGCTTAGACATATCAAAATTTAAAGAATCTCAAACTGAATAGAAAAAAATTCATACAATACAGGTATCTTTAACGAGTCCCCTAATTGATTAGCCTCACAATATACATGATTGACAACCATATCTCAATCTGATTTCACCTGATCAGAAGGAGTCACTGGCCGACCACACGTCTGAGCTGTCTGATTGTTGGGGAGAATAGAGGAGGTGTACCTGAAACACACGCTAATGGCAAAGTAAGAGTCGGGCAGAGTGATAACAAGTACAGAAAGAGAAGTAAGAATGAGATTACCTGATCCTCTAATAAAAGAGGGTATTTATAGTGTGTCACCAGCGCAGGGCCAACGGTTACTTCGCGTTGGGCTGGGCTATCAGGCCCAATGCTGGCAACTGCTAGGGCTAACGTGGCGTCAAGAAGATCAACACGTGGTTTTCGTCCTAGTGTAACTGCTCTGTGCTATCTGGGAGGTGGAGGACCGAATAATCAGGGCACAGGTAGTTACCTGATGACGTGTCTCCACGTAGGGAACACATTGAGAACGTAGGGGAGGTCGGAGGAGCCTTCCGAGCTAGATAGGGTTGCCTGACGATTGGGCATAAGGGAAAGCGTGTCTGAAAGATGTGAGGTGCCTGCTCGAATGCCAAGAGGTTCGTGCCCGACAGGAGAAAGGGTTCTGCCCGACGGGGAGGCGGTTTAGGTCTTATTGGGTCTTCCAACCTGATGTGGGGTTGGGCCTGCTCGACTGTGGGCCAAGTGTCGGCCCAGTCTAGAACAGTAGCCCCCTAAGTCGTTGCTTGTGGTCAAACGAGCTATGACTTAAGGTGCAGAGGTGTCGAGCATGTTGCTTCGTCGGTCTGTTCGCGGCCATACTGGTTGGGCGAGTTTACGATGCGCGGAGAGGCCCGCGGACGAGGAGAGGGAAACTGAAGAGACGCAGGGAAAGTTGAGAGTCGCCACGTGTCACTTTAGGGAGGCTACGAGCTAGGTACTTGAATGCCCAATGACGCTTCGTTTCTCGTGCTATGGGCATATATATACGTGGGCTCAGTCCGCCTTTTCGCTCACTTGTCTCTTTGTCGCCGCTCAGTTCTCTGAATTATCTGCTCGACATCTACAACATTTTTGCTCGACGCAACCACCACT